TCTTGTATGAGACTAAGCTCTGTCTTCATCTGCATGAGGCTAAGCCTTGCCTCCATAACTGGATAAGGCTAAGCATTGCCTTCTCTCTGCATGAGACTAAGCCCTATTTCAAATCATTGCATAAGGCTAAGCCCTGCATCCGTATTTGCATAAGGCTATGATCTTCCTTCCATTTACATAGGAATAAGACCTGCCCTGAATCTTGCATGAGAATAAGCTCTATCTCCATCTGCATGAGGCTAAGCTATGCCTCCATATCTGCATAAGGCTAAACTCTGCCTTCCATCTACATGGGACCGACCTCTGTCTCAAATCTTGCATGAGGCTAAGCTCTGCCTCCTATTTGCATAAGGCCAATCATCGCCTTTATTTTCCGTGACTAAGAACTGTTTCTCCGGCACTATCTATTTGCTCCTCTTTCGGGTTAATCTCTAGCCTCAACCTCATAAGACTAAGCCTTGTCTTGTTGATTTTAGCATCATATTATTGCCTCTCATGGACTGAAATATCGCTAACTTGTCCAAAGGCATCATTATCTAACGACATCATTCTCATAGCCGAAAGACACCATGCCATGGCCTGGGGATCTCTCAAATTTGCATATCATTATTCAAAGGTTTCATGGTTCGGAGGTACCATTTTCATGGCCCGAGAACATCATTTCATGACCTGCGAATCTCCTATCTCACAATTCATGGCCCAGGACATCATAGTCTAAGGTCGTCATCCGCACTGTCCAAAGGCAATCTGTCATGGTCCAAAGGGAATTTTCATCATATATATGCTTTCATGCATTGTGTTTTATGTTTTGCATGTAATCCAGAAGGTAACCGTTCTTCAAATAGGAGCAGCCTTCGCTCTGATTTCCACTCATATCATTTTCACTTTGCCATTCATAACTGATTCCCATCAATTACCCATCCTACTTTGTGATATCCAATTATCTACCCTATAATGCATATGTTACATTCCATATTTGCAACCATAACTCCATCCGGCATTACCTTTCACAAAAGAACCTTTGTTTAAACTGGCTACCATTTCGATAACAACTCCATCGGCTTCATTCACCGGTGGGTCGAGAACTACACATGGCCTGATTCGTGTAAAGTTAGGGATATGTAGGCAGCTCAAGGACAGGGTCCGGCCTCTAGTTTTCAAAACATTCCATTCGGTGAAAAATTGGCTATCATTTCTTTACTCGAAAACTCTTTCATCCTTTCTGGGTAAAGAGGGGCAGATGTTGATACCCAATTTTTTCTTATAATATTTTAAAATGCATATATACCTTCAAAACTATGCATTAGCATCAATTAATATTTTTCTATAATTTTTGTATTTTTAAGGGTTTTAATTAATTTACTCCAGTATTTTATTTATGCAAACAATTACTAATTGCATCACAAACATATTTGCATTGTTGGGTTATAATTACATAAACTTTGCAATTATAGCCCATGCATGCATTAGTAAATTATTTTACCAAAATATAGCTTTATGTATTGTTTTAAATACTAAGTAATTATTTTAAAATATTTTTAGGCATCAAAATCAATTTTATAATCTGTTAATTATTTTTAAAAAATGTTTTATCAATTAAATAGGTATTTAAAAAATAGCCCTTTTATTTTTCGGACCTAGCCTATTAAACCAGCCCAATTTCAATTCCCTAATCCCAATTCAATAAAAACCGGCCCAAATCCACCCTAGCCCAAACCAATTAAATTTAACTCACCCCAACGCCCAGAATCAATCGTGACCACTAATCTCTAAGATCAACAGTCCGTATCATTCCCTTCCTTTTTAGTCCCAAAAGACCCCAAACCCTAGTCATTTGTCACCACCGGCCGCCCTCAGACTCTCTATTCTCTAATTCTCTCTAATACCAAACTCTAACCCTAATCGCTGCCACCCAACACCAGCCCTAATATCTTTGATTCCTACTCGTTCCAGGGATTCCTATGGACGTTTAAGACTTCTACTGGTCTCCTACTTCCCCTGGTTGCCCGATTTTGTTATTTCATGGAAAGATCTCGAAGAGATCTAGCCAGATTATGTTCAAGACTCTTCGAGGGTCCGCCTATGGTTACCTCCATTTGTGAGCGCTACTTTCTAGATGTTTTATTGTTCAAATCTCTGGTTCAAAGCCAGATTCTCTTCATCCCTCCCCTTTTCCTCAAAGCCCTAATCTTTGAACATGAATCCGTCCAGATATTTGTAGATCTGGAATGATTCGGATTTCGTTAATGACTTTTCTTTAAAGATCTCTTGTTTCTTTGTTGTTGATCGATTTTAGCACTATGTTACTTTAGGGTTTTCGTTTTCCTTGTTATTTGTTGGTCGAATCTCTATGTATCTGAAGTATTTTCAAGTTTCCATGACCGTTTTCCTTAAGAATTTTCTGATTCCTAACTGTTAATCAACTCTAAGTACTTTTCAAAATTAGGGTTTCCTTCATCTATTTTTGCAAATGGTTTTCTGAAATTTCTCATTTTTCTGTTTAAAATCTTTTTGCAATGACTATGTTCCAGGCTTGATTGCTTAACTGCTCATTGTTGATCTCTGCTTGCTTTCCTTAATCCAGAAGTTCCTAGTTGGTGTCTCTTGCCTATCTATGGGTTGATTGGACCTCGATTGGTCTCTAATTAACTATGATTGCCTTATTCGTATGATTGATTGCTTGATTTATGGGTTCTAACCCTAATTGGCAGTTAAACCCACTTCTTGCCTTATTTGAAACTCAATCAGAGTTATTTATGGGTATAATCCCCTAATTTTCTGTCCGTATCAAGCTTGATTGATTATTTGATTACTTCTCTTACCTTTATAAATTATCCGTATAGTTTAGGGATTCTTACTGATTCCCTATTTGGTATGATTTGGATTCCTTAACCTTATTAACCTTTTTTTGCTGTGACCGTTAAGTGATTACCCCTAATTAAGGGGTCTATTTCGGACTCCCTCACATGAATTGATTATGTGATTATTTGATTTTCCCCTAATTGACTGACTACTGATTTGCTCTACTCCCTAAGTGCTATATATACACTCTTGTTTTACCTCTCAAGGACACGAACAACAGTTCACAAACACACTCACACACAAACTCTGCTCTTATCTCTCTCTGCTACTTGTGTTCATTATTTGTCTAGTCGGCTAAAAGCCAGGACTAGACTGTTGAATCCTGCTACTCTACTTTCTGCTCCTGCTTCTTTAACTGGTATGCTCTCACTTTACTATCATGCAAACCTCTGTACGATTTGATCTGTGTATTTCCTATTTCTGGCATGTCCATTTTATGTTACTAAATCTGTAGGATCTTTATATTCAGCCTGTTTATCTTTAAGTAGATCTATGTGATTCATGCTCATTATCCCTAGTTAGTATGTGTACTGCCATTCATGTAGACTACATGCTTCCTGCTATTCAACTTAACCTATATGTTTCCTTATAATAACATGCCTACTTCTATCTTAATCGAACCTATGTGTCTACTGCAATAACATGTTTACTTATATGTTGACTTCAATAATATATTTACTTCTGTCTAATTGAACCCATGTGTGTCCTGCTCTCAATCTGTTTAATCTTGCTTTAGTTAGATTGTTGTGTTTCCAGAATCATGCTTGTTTCTTCTTCACTAGCATATTCTTTCTTTCTTATGTTCACCTCTGACCAATATGGCTCCCCAGCTCTACTACCCCTCTGTATGTGACTGAGTGTTCACCTAGTGACAGTTAATTAACTAAGTTGAAACTCTAAGTTACCTTGTCACTACCAGAAAATGGGCCTATGGGAACAGATATTTTGGCAACGGTTTGTAAAACGTTGCCATAGAGTAAATATAGTAACGGTTGCAACCATTACAATAGAACTTTGGGTGGTATAGCACACTTTGGACATAAAACCGTTGCAATTGTAACAAAACCGTTGCCATGGAGATTTGTTTAGCAACGGATTTGTAAACCGTCTCAATAGGCATGTATATTGGAACGGGTTTAGCAAAAACAATTCTATGGGAACGATTATTCATTTCCCTCATTTTTTTCGCTAAAATTCACTGGCCCGCCTATCATTTTATATTTTTAAATAATTTAATAAAGTAAATAAATTAAACCCCATCTCCACCTCCAGTAATCGACACATCCAATCTCCCCTCTCTAAACTCTTTTTTTGCCAAACTCCATTAATCCAAACTCCATTAATGGCCGAGTTTCAGGTTTAATAAATCTTCTCTTATTCGATTTTCATATTTACTTTGTCACTTTCACTCTCTCTATATCTATGCAAATACCTCTTCATTTGACCACCAAAATCATCAAACCCTAGAGTTCCCAAAGCCCAAAACGTGTTGCCGTTTACCATTTTTCGTCGGTCTTTCCGACAATTCTCCGAAGGTTTGCCGGTTACAAATCCAATGAACTCAGATATCCACTTCTTCAAGGACAGTTGCTAGCCTTTCCCAAATCCCCAAATTCTAAAATCAGATTTGTGCTCGAATCAGAGAAGCCAAAAATCGCCATAGCCTAGCAATTTTCTCTCTTCTTTTGGTCCTTTTTACTGTTTTTGTTACCATTGCTATATCATTTTTACTGCGTTGGTTACAAAAATCGCCATAGTCATGGAGACCAGATTTTTACTGGTCTTTTGTGTTAGTGAGGAATCGAGTTTCAAAGAAAGAAGAATCCAGAAAAATACACTTTCGCTTCTTACTTCTGATTTGATTTTTGTTTTCTATAAGTGAAATTCAATTGAATTTGAGGGTCGTGTGAGTTTATCGCATGTTGAAGATTCTGTCTAAGGTCTGTTCGTGGTCTTAATCGTGGTCCTTTGTTCGATATTGTCACTGTTTCTCGTCGGATTTTTTGGATCGAAGGAGTGTGTATTTGTTGATTTTTCCGTTGTTAATTAGAAGAACTTCAGTTTAACAAGTTCATTTTTGTTTTCCCCGTCTCATTTAATTGTAGTTAGATTTTATATTCTTCCGTTACTTGTGTTCTGTTTTACTTCCGTGTTTATGAGTATCAAATTTGTTTCCTCAGTAAAGATTTAGGACGTTCCATCAGTTTTCTTGAATGCCTGCCTATGAAATTCAGGACCTGTAGGAATATGGAAAATGTCTTAAACTTCTCCTTGGATGAACTCATATTGGGAGGACTTTCCATCAGTTTTCTTCCTTCACTTGATGGTTTGTCCATGACCGATGAACCTTAAACGTTAAGGTTAAGTGAATTTGCCACAAAAATAACAGAACAACGTTGAGCTAAAAGATTATTGTGGAAATTAATATTTTTGTCCTGGTATGCTTGGTAATTTTGTGAGGTTTTGGTTTGTAGTTGGACTTGATAAGATTATGGCAAACTATACTACTGAAGGTCCTAAAATGCTACTTAACATCAGTTTCTGTTTAAATGCGAGTGTCAGTAGAAATTGAAGTGAAAGTCAGACCTTGTAGAGGGTTGTAGAATAGTTTTTGAAAGCTAGCTCATACATTTTTTACCTATTAATATCCCAAAAGGAGTTACTAGTATGAGAAATAAAACCATACGTTTTCACTGGTTTTAACTACGGAAAGATTAAGAGGGTCAAAGGTCTTGAAGAATCAGCAAGTTATCAAGTAGAATATAGAACTATCAGAAAATACATCCTTTCATCATAACTATCATTTGTATTCATATGCCTAATCAAATTTTCAGGTTTCTTCAGTAAAGATTCTGTTTTTCACCTATCTAGTTACCAATTTCAAGTAGACACCTTTTTTAGAAGAAAGAAGAAGCAAGATATTTGGCGAGGTAAACCTTCTGCTTTCGCTCAGTTTGTCTTCTTTCTGGTTTGAAACTGACTGTTTATGTTTGTGCTTTTGAAACTGAAAATGGGTGTAGTTTAGCCTTCTGAAACTTATTGTCTAGGTCTTTCTAGTGTGACATTGCTTCTTTATTTTTGTGCTTTTGAAACTGAAGGTGGTTGTAGTTAAATTTCTGAAATTTTGGATGAGGGTTTATATAGCCTATCCCAACTAACTTAGGATTAAGGTGAAATATATCAAGGTATAAAGTTTCCAATATCCAATAAACATGGACGATATTTCTTATTTCTTACACTAACCCAATTGCACTAAATTTGTAGGAAAAATATGACATTCTTGACGAGGCAAAACAATGGGTTTTTGAATCAGTTTGTAGTGCTTGGAGAAAGTATAAGACTCAATTGAAGGCAATCCACTTCACAGCCTATGAGAATGATGAGCTTCGAATGGAGAATAGGCCAGTAGATGTTCCGGAATCTCACTTTAAGGATCTTAAATATTGGAACTCCGATCCACACAAGGTAATTATATCCAGAATCTCTTGTCTTGTTTTAACATAATTGGGTACCATTGTACCAGCAGCAGTAGTTCTTTTTAATACTGTTCTTTTCTTTTAGTCTTTTGAGTCTGGTTGTTCAACGGTATAGATTGCATGATTTTGATGGCTGGAAACTTTGCCAATATAAGAGGATAATTCTTTTTACATTGGTCTTCCTCCCTTCCCCTTCAGGATATAAGCTAACTGATACATCAAGTACTATTTTAAATAGCAAAAAAAGAAAAATACTAATTCTCAGTAAACATCTAGCTAGCTTGTAAAAAGAATTCAGAACCATTTAATTTCTTGAAAAAACAAACAGGAGAAGGAGAACATATATTGAATTAAAGAACATCTACTGATTGAAAGAATTGTATCCTTTAAAAACAATCTCTCTATATGAACCTCGGAAGACTATAATATGCTTTATCTGAAATTCCCCTATGGGTTTACATGAGGAATGGGATAAGAAGCTATTGAGCTTCTCTGAAAACCTACAGGCTGGATAGAAGTACAACCAACAGTTCACCGAGAAAAGCAAAATGATCAAAGTTCACTCAACAAAGAAATTCAGTGTATTCAATATATTATGATTCTTTCCTTTGGCAATACTTGGAATATTTAACTGTAGTCATATATAAAGCCATCTTCTACACTTATTTTTGGTGATTTGTGTGGCATCTGGACTGGACATATTAGTGTTGAATACACATAAGTTGCTTGTTTGTTCAATTTCAGCATATGCTGACGGTCTACATACCTTGCTTTACATTTGAGTAATGATAGGACACGCTTTCTGAATAAAATTTTGACTTGTCCACATTTTGTGTATGATTTAGTTATCTATAAGAATTTGTTTTTCCCCTTATCAATTGTACCAATGGATTAAAATGCTATTTGGAATTTGTTAGAAATGATTCATTTTAGCAGAATAGTTCATATGTTTTCAACCTAAGAGATAATACATGTTGTGCATCCATTACAACTGAAAAAATAGAGAGTACTGCAAATTTTGCGGAGTTGCATCTTTGGGATAGTTTCATATTGGCTGTCTCTCTTTTTGGTTTTTATGATTGAGCTTCATCCTTAAAATTTTGTTGGGAGCATGGGACTAAACTTTAGAAGGTGAATTATAGTTCTGTTATACTATGCATCTTCTCCTCAAGAAGTAGCTGAAGTTGTCTTCAGAATAAATGATAATTAAATGACATGGTTATGACCATCTAAACTCTAAATTTTAAGCACCTGATTAATTGTTATACAACAAAAAGTATTTACTTGTTAAGTAGTCTAATTTCTTGGAAAAAATATATTTAATACTACTACAAACATCTCTCTTTGAATCTAATTTAATTACTCCTCAGATAATCATAATTAATTTGACTAAACAAAATTCACTCTCTACAATGGACCTTGTTTTTCTTGCTAACATGATGTAGCCATCCAAATCCTTTAATTGCTTTAGAAATCTTAACAACCAACCTTGAAATCCTTTGTCCAAGAATGAGGGCTTGTAGAGATTGATGTGGGTAATAGGCATAATTGTTGGTTGCTATTGGTTGACTCGTTTATTTACAGAAAATGTCCTAAACCAATACAGAGAATCGAAGTAAGTTGAAGTGTCCGCACACTGCTGGCAGAACACCTTTTGCTCTAATTCACGAGGTTTGAAGTTTTATCTTTCTTATTTTTTTTAAATTATGAGCTTGCTAACTTTATATGGAAAGATTCTTATGCATGTTTTCATGTAACTAGGAAAAAAAGAAGGAAATCTCTGATACTTCAGATACTCTATCAAGTAACGACATCTTTGTGGCTAAAAGAAAAAGAAAACTTGGCCGAGTATACAAAAGCTCATATGACAATACGATTAGTAAAATTGTACGAGATTTCTAATTTAAAGTTTATCGTGATTATTTATTTGTTCTTAATTATTGATTCAATTTTAGTTACTTAAAACTCTTTTCTCTCATATTTGGTTTGTAGGCTGAAATGGAGAGAATACAATCAACTCAGGAAAGTAAAGATGACAGTCATTCAGTTGACGTTTTTGCATCAGTCATGGGACATGAAAATCCAGGTCCCGTGAGATTGTATAGACGAAGGGTTAGAAAGACTTTATTAAACGGGTAAAAAGGGAATCTTGCATCTTCTTTAGATGATGATGAGAGGATGCAATATAAAATAGAGGAAATGGAAGAGAGGATGCAACAAAGAATACATGAAAAGTTGAACGAACAAAAGGATGCTATGGAACAAAATATTACAATGAACGTCATCGCACGACTTCAGCGTTTGAACCCAGATTTACAACTTGATCCTGACATGTTAAGGCTCAGTGCTTGTTCACCTGTAGATGCTTACTCATCACAACAAGCTATTGTTCAACTAAACAGTCGACCATCTGCTGGTAGTAACAATCAAGGTCAGTACGTACCAAATGTTATACATCTTCTTCTATTTCTTCTTAGAGCTTTAGTTCGACTGGTATCACTTGTACATCTGCATTTCCAGCATTTGTTTCCTGTTTGTGGACTTGCAATAAAAGTGTTACTTGTGACTCAACTGCTTCAGATTGAGGTGAAATTGCAAGCTCTGTCATTGTAACAACTTCTGTATCTGTTGATGTTGCTGTATTTTGCATTGTTTCTGGATTCTGTTTTGTGAAGCTATTAGTTCTGCATTCAAGCCTGTTGCTTCTCTTTTTCTTGTCTGTTGTTTCCTTTTCTTTTGGCTGGGATTAGATTTTGACTTGGATGTGCTTGGCTGTGTTCCTATAGCTTATATATCTTGATCAACAATGCTCATGCAACCCTTCTCTATTAGGTTATCAGAAGTTATTACTTTGGGTTGGTAGTGGGAGTTGTCTGATCTCCAACTTTCTCACCATTCTCCTGCTGCCCTGCTGTATCAGTTTATGGTATATTTGCCTTGTCTTTAGTCTGAGTTGTCTTGGTGTGTGGTTTTCTATTGTAGTGTTCGGGGGTTGCCAGGTTTTCTGTTGTGTGCTATTTTGTTTTCAAAGCAGCAGATGTGGAACAGTTGTTCATCATTGTTGTTCAGGATATCTTCAATGCTCCATTCTTTGTGTTTTTGCCTGAAAGCACTTAATGGGGACTGAGGCGTGGTTGATCCATTGTTTGATTGATTTTGCGGCTAAAAAGCAAACATCACCTTTTGAGAATCAAAAAAGAGGAAGAATGTTATATACTGTGAAAATGTTCCACATTGGGAGGGGATGGGCTGTTGTCTCCTTATAGGCAATCCTCAGTTCATGATTTAGTATTTTGGGTTGAGTTACACCAATGTCCATTTTCATGTAGTATTGGTTTGTTTTGGATGAACATATTATCAAATCTGATTGTTTTTACTCTTAACTTCAGATCTTACATTGCTGTTCTTGTACTTGGCTAACTGCTTTAGCCTTACTGAGTTTTGCTTAGTTCAATTTGTTAAATATCTTACAGCTCTTCATAAAAGAAGAGACTGAAGAAGGAAGTATCTGCATGCCTTTAAGAATCTGTTAAGCTGAAACCATGCCTTGATTGTTTCCTAGTTGTTTCTTTCTCTGTGCTATAAAATTGTAACTCTACAGATGAATATATTGATGTAATTTGGTACCAAAACTAACACAAGGGAAAGCTGACCAAGTGATATTTATATTGATCTAAGTGGTCTCCCTAACCTCCTTTATTAATTATTTCAGTTTGGTTCACTCAAAGTTGTTGACTTTATCCTTTAACTTTACTCTTTACTTTTCCATCATAGCTTGATAGTTTGAAAGTCTTGGTCCTTGGTAATAATATCAGATTGTTATAATGTTGTGTATAGTTTGTTGAGATGAATAAGTTGGATTAATAAAAGCAGTACGAAAACAGTTAAATGCTTGAGTATTCTTAGACCGGGTTCTTTTGAAGGGTAATGACTTTATTTATCCTCTTTTGTAGGTGAAGTAGATCAAGAAATGGATGATGAAGATGATGAAGAACTAGATCTTACTTGAGATGAATTTTGAATTATTATCGATGAATGTTCTAGGAATCTGTTGTTACCAACAATTTTTGAAACTTATTTACACTCTTGAAATGAACTAAACTTATGCACTCATGAGGTTGAACATTTGCTTGATGGATAATTTTGTATTATTAATAGTTTCATTCTATGATGTATTTAAATTTTAATGTTATTATAATTTATTATATGTATAAATATTTATTTATAACAGATGCTATAAATTGGGTTTAATTGAACTGATACATTAGCCTACCAGAACCGTTGCAATAGGACATCAATGGCGTTCTAGTAGGCAATGTAAACTGCTTCCATAGGTCTCATAAACTGTTCCAAAATGATATACAAACCGTTCCAAACACAAATGTAACTGCTATGATAGCTTAAAGAAACCGTTGATATATTCAACATAACCGTAGCAACAACTTACATAAGTGTTTCTTTAAATAATATGGCAACGGTTACAAACCGTTGTATAAACAATACAGTAATGATTTTGAACCGTTCAATTGAAAAAAATAACTATTCCAACAGAGAAAGGGAAAACCGTTGCGATAGACGCATCTATTGTCACGGTGATGCAAATCGTTGCAAGAACCATTCCAGTAGACCTATGGGTACGCCAGCTGATATGACGGTCTTTAAACCGTTCCAATATCCCTATGGCAACTGTTTGGCAGCCTGTGGGGACAGTTTTTCAACCGTTACCATAGACCAATTTTTCAGTAGTGTGTTTCTGTATTCTATTTTACTGTTGGGACCTTGGTTTGAGTTAAAATGATTGAATGACCATGTTTGCTCCATACTTCCTGAGAATCCAAAACTATTCTCTTAAAAACTATCTCCTGTTTTCAACCTCTATTCTTAGAACATCAAGGGACTTTCCCCTCTAGTGTAAGCATTGCTTAGGAGTCTCTGAGGCTCCTCAGAACTTTGACACACTGGAGTTGGCTTTCCAAAACTCGCTCACAAAGGGTTACTTTGAAAGTTTTTTGGTGTGAGCATTGCCCGAGGTCCCTAAGGACCTTGGGATCTTGGACACACCAGGATACTATTGGATGCACTATGAGGTTATGACATTTTTGGACTGGTTGAAACCCTGGTCTATCAGATTTATCTTTTGTGCCTATATTCAGGCTCCTTATAGTTGTAGCAATTTCCCTTCTGTAATTTATTAGTAGTGTTGGTCTGTAATAATAATTCCTTGTAAACAGATATTAAGGAAATTAGTAAAAGGGAGGGATTCTTATACATATCCTATTGGGAAAGGGTATATACCATGCCTATAGGTTGCTACAATATTTGTCTATTTAGATACCATGCCTATAAGTTGTTATGATGTTTGTTCATTTATACATTATGCTAATAGGATTCAAAAATCGACCCTGCATTCTAGATAACATATTTGTATGTTTGTTGTGATGTTTGCTTAGATACCATGCCTATAGGTTGTTACAATATTATTACTTTAGATACCATGCCTATAAAGGGTTTTAAAATTAATCCGTCCCGCTTGTAAGTTTGAAAAAGTTCAGTTTCTACATACTAACAAGGTTTAAATCAGTCTTGTGCATATTCTAAAACTAATTGTTGCATTCAAATTCCATGCCTATAGGATTCTAAAACCAATTTCTGCATTTAAGTGCCAGTATCTATAAGTCTAAAATTAGCTATTCAGCAACCTAGACCAGCATGTCTATAAGACTTAATAAATTCAAATGGTTTTTAATTGATTCCTAGAATTCTGATTGCATTTAGACAACATGTTTGTAGGGTATTATAGATCTACACCTAGGCAAGCCTATAGGTAATCAAGGTCTAATAAAAACTATGGAACTATGCTTTGCTTGTTTGTACTTGCCCAGATTCAACAGGTTCTAAAATTAGTAGGCAAACTAATTAGGTCTTTAACGCTTTGCTTTAACATAATGCTGCATATCCTCTAGTTGTCATGCTCACCTAGATATCCTATTCTAGGACCTTTCTGAAATGTCTTAAATTTGTTGTTTGAGACATGCTCTTACTTGCTCTATTTGTGGAGGTAAAATGTGAGCCTTTTAACTGTTCTATCCTTGGTCCGGTCTTATGTGTTTTGTTTTACGTCTAGAGTTTTCTCTTTTTAATTACTGTAGGAGAGTCTAGATCCACCTTAACTAGAAGTCCTAAATACATTCGGGACTAAATAAGTAAAGGGATGTGTAATACACACATAGGATATATCTTAAGGTTGCTAGAACGCTTTAGTCTATGACCAAGGGGAGGGTAATTTGGTAGTAAAGGATATGATGGCATGTGCGCCAATGCCACATGTAACCCCTCTAGTTGAGGAAGGATTACCGGGTATTGTACAGATGTGATTCTATAGGCTAACAAACCTAGGACTTCCCTCATCTTATTTACATATGTGCTTAGACTGCTTATCTGTCAAATTTCCTTTATCTTATATGTGTGCTTAGACTGCCTATTTGTTAAATGACTAATTCACATAATTGAGTTCAGTCGGGACCCAACGTTTTAGACCACGAGGGGTGCCTAACACCTTTTCCTCAAGGTTATTTCGAGCCCTTACCAAAGTCTCTTGTAATGCAAACCGGTTTCATGAGCTATTTGCTTTAGGTGCCCTAAAGTACCTTAAATCCGTTAGGTGGCAACTCTTCAAATTCAAATACCCAGTTCCCAAAAAAAATGAGTTGTTCCCAATGACTGTCGAAGCCCGAACTCCGCGAGGAAAAGGAGGTGCAACAGTAAATCATGTTAATTATCATGTTAAGGCTTCACGCTGATATTGTTGAGACGCGAGAGGTCATTTCTTGCTATCATATCATTAGCTTTATTGTTATTTTGTACTCAGTCATGTTCATGCATATTATATCATGTCTTAGTCTTGATTATTGTTATTTGGCACATATCATTATTTCGGGCTAGTATCATGGCATTTTGAGCCCGTGTGTGTGAGACTGGAGAGTGATGACTGAGTGCGGCCGAGAACCTGATATTGAGTGAAAGTATGGGATAAGGCTGCACGCCGCAGCGGGATATTGATTACGCCTTTGTTGGCTTGTTATAGAGCTTGGGCTGAAATGAGCCCCTTCGTAGTCTATACACCCCTAGTGAGCGCAGTTGATATTATTCAGTGATGAATTTTCCCTAGACATGAATCTTGTCTGAAGTACTTATACTTGGAGATAGATCTTCTCCACGGGGTGTCACAACCCCAAAATACCCCGGTCATGATGGTACCTATCATAGTACTAGACCAGCCGAAACAACACGAACTACATGGAAGATCTTTTGTAAAATTTACTCTTTTTCTAAACAGATTAAGTCTAAATTCTTTCGTTTTAAAATATCAAAAGAAATATGCAGAAATAAGTACAAACTACAATCAACACAGCCCGAATGTGGTCTCACTAGTCATGAGCCACTAAATACACTCAACATTGTTTGCTAAAAAAAAACAAGTCTGAAATATAAAGTATTAGAATAGGAAGGAGAAAGGCAGGACTGCAAATACCGTGCAATACTTTGGTATCTCCGGATAAAAGTCTGAGAGTGCTAGAAGCTCTCACTCTAATGCTCGGGCATCTGGATCTGCACACAAGGTGCAGGGAGTAACATGAGTCGCCCAACTCAGTAAGTAACTAAAGTAAATAAAGTTTGAGTGATGTGATGAGCATTTAAAATCATATGCATACTTATCAAGAAATCTCAACAGAAATATTAAGTCAACATCTGTAGCTTAATAGCCAATTATCTCATAAAACTCCAGTTTCAATTAAAAATCCTTTAAAAATATTTATTCAACATTTTTCAATAGATGCTCAATATAAAAGAAGGGTGAAAGCAGAAAAATGTCATAAACAAGCCCCTCGGGAAAGGTATCACTCATAAGTATAGCCTCTCGGGCAAGCCTCTTAGTCACTCGTGACTCAGCTCTCTTTGATCGGTACTCACACTCAACACTCCGACTCAATTGATATCTCATAATAATATCAATAACCGATGTGGTGTGCAGCCCAATCTATAATATATAGTCGACTACGCTCACTGGGGTGTACAAACTCCGGAGGGGCTCCTACAGCCCAAGCGTCATATCGCTGCGGCGCACAACCCAATCCAATACATATTGTTGTGGAGTACAGCCCGATCCATTATATATATATATATATATATATATATATAATCCTCACCATTAGGTCCTCAACCTCTCTCAGTCATTAACCTCATGGCCACTCTAGCATATAAGTGAAATTAGGGAAATATAGCCAAAACAGTTTTCATATATTAAGAAGTAGAGTGATGAAACCGGATTAAACAATAAATAGGTAAAACATGACTAAGGATATGCTTTCAAATCAAATCATAGTGAGAAAAGTAGTAAAATACCCTAAGGGTTTAAACAGTTCGGCACAAGGCCCCAAATATGGCATTCTTCCCAAGTTAACAAATTCATTTCTCAAACATATGGATATCATATACAATATATCAAAATATGCAACTATACAGTCGCCACGGAACAGACCAAGTCACAATCCCTACGGGTGCATGCCCACACGCCCGTCACCTAGCATGTGCACCACCTCATTTATCAAATCAGTACGAAATTCCGGGGTTTCATACCCTCAGGTCAAGATTTACAATCGTTACTTACCTCGAACCGGATGAAATACTACTCCACAACGCCCTTGCCTCTTGATTCGGCCTCAACTGGCATCGAATCTATCTAAAATTAGAATCATAACATCAATACATGCTAAGGGAACAAAGCCAATGTGAAAATAATCAAATTACATCAAGAATCCTGAAATTGGTCAAACCCGACTCCTGGGCACATGTCTCGAAATTCAATAAAAATCACATCAATAAAATCCTTATCATCCCATGAGTCCGTACATACCAAGAACATCAAAATCGGAACTCAAATGGTCCCTAAAATCTCCAATTTACACTCTCCAATTTCAAGCCCTAATCTCCCAATTTTAGGCTTTAAATCGCACTAATTTCATGTCTAATTAGTTAAAAATCACCATATAATCGAGTATTGAGTTCAAAAATCTTACCTCCGATTGTTTCCCTTCGAATCCCTCTCGTAAAGCTTGAAAACCGCTCAAA